TGTAGAATGTCTACTTTCTCTCTGTGTCTCTCTGCCTCTCTGTCTCTTTCTCTGTCTGTCTCTCTGTCTCTGTCTGTCCTTGTTTCTCACTGTCTTTGTCTCTCTCTTTCTCTCTCTTAATTGCCCATTTGCAGATCTACAATAAATTTCTCTTTAAAATCCACCATCTCAGGTTCTTAGATTTCTTCTTTGAATTCTTGAAAAAAAATCTGAAATCTAGTAGCTCTGGATAGCTTTTCAGATAGTTGAGTTTTCTGGGACCCTAGCCCCCCCCAAACTAAGCTCACCAGGAAATCAGAAAAACTGACAAAATATGCAAATTCCCTCATATTATAAGACCACATTTATGTTTCATATTTTAGAAATGAATCTACAATTACACATCGTGAACAACTTTTTGTGTGCTGGTTATATGTACAGTGTTAATGGTTTATAAATAGCTCAACATATGCACATTCATAATTCTTTGTTCAGAGTTACGTGTAAACCTAAATAGGACTTTGGGAGCATGAGAACAACAACCATATACAGAGAAACATGATAGTGATTAGAGGTAGAGCCGGAGAAAATCTCAGTGACAAGACTGACTACCTACCTAGAGGACCAAGATTAAACTTTAGAATGACTGGCTGTCTCTGTTTTAATTCTCTATAAATTTTGGTAGCTGGGGATGGGAAGGGAAAGTAGATCTGGAGAATAGTTCTCTGGCTTCCCAGATTGCCAGATCTTTGAGGGAAAAAAACTTAAAAATTCAATTCCCATCTCAGCTTATGGGCATTTGTAAAGACAGCCATCATAAACCCTGGTGTTCAGGTCACACTTTCTGGATGGCTTTGTTACAGATTTCACAGCATCACAATCCACTCCTATTTAACAACATGGAAGGTGTAAGATTCCCAAAATAAAGGCTCATCCTTGCTCATCATTACAGAAATTCTTATCTATGACCATCTAAACTGTTGACTCAGCATCAGGGCAACAGTAAAGGCCCATCATGGAAAAGTTTCTAGTGAAGAGTGTAGAATCTCTGGGCTCAGTGGAGCCCAACATTTCAGTGAGTTGAGTCAATCACAGAGCCCAGGCACCACCTGGAAGAAGGGAGGTTCACTGTAGGCAGTGCTCCAGAGGAAGCCGAAATAATTATCCCTCTACAGCAATACTGTGCTTTTCCTTCCAACAATTCTCATGCTCTAGCTCAGTCCCTACAAGACAAGCAGCCATGACACTCAGCCAAGTCTTCCCACCAAAGACCCAGCTTTGCTTTCTTCTCTCCTGTCTCTTTCTATGAGATGCTGACCAGATGTCACATATGCTTCTTCTGGTCCACTGGGCTGTCCTCACCCATTCTCTGAGTTTCTCCTCCCCCATTTGGCTTTCTGCCATGACATGGCTTATCCCTATGCTTCCTTAATTCAAGAAGCACATTTGTTCCTTTTCTTCTCCATTCTCCTTCTCTAGGCAGCTGCTGAGATGTACAACTTTGATCTGTCCTGAGATGTTTTTCTTTTCAACTATAATAAAACTCTCCTGGTGATTCCCTTTGACTTTATTCTTAAATTCTTTGATTAATTAAAGTAGGTGTCGCAAAAGGGGAATCCTGATGTCTCCAGAATTATCAGGACACAAGTCCCAAAGTCTAGTTCCTCCACGACTACAGCACCAAATCAGCAAGTCATAAGATCAGCTACACCTTCTTTAGCCATCAATTGATAAACTATCAAACAATAAACCCCAGGAGAGGCAGGGTTCAAAAGCACAGTTCTGAATGAATAAAGTCTTCTATGTTCTTATATGTATGTTGCTTTGTAGAGCTTAATTTTTTGTGCTATTCTAATATACACATTTCAAATTCAAAGTATGTTTTAATGTAACAGGAAAAAGCTTAAATGTGGACACTAAAATAAAAATAGGTGATTTAAATGTATATTGTGTTTAAATGCACAATCCATTTATAGAAAAAAATCTTTACATTTCTAAGAATTTGTTAACTTAATATCTTGATTTTGGATTATGATTTGTTTTAGCATTTCTTTATAGATTTCTCCATTCTTCAGATTTTCAACAATAAGCATTTATTAATTTTATAACAAAAATCAAAATGTTGATTAAGGTAAAGATATATGCAATACAGAATGTCCAGTTAATGTTTCAGCGATATGGATTATGACTGGGCCAGAGAGCATTCATGGTCCCAGCTGGGTGGATAGCTGCTTGGTTTATTACCTGCAGTAAGTCATGAAATTCTGAAATTCTCTTTCTTCCATACAAGATGGAGATTTTTTAAAAAGCTATTTGCTTAGATTTTTCTGGTGGAATTAACAGAGATGATATTTGTAAGCTCCAATTAAACTCCCTGAAATGTCTGCACTCAGCAGTGGGCAGCCATCCTACAACTCCTGGATACATGAGACACCTGTTACTCAGCAGTAAGCATTTGTCTCCTTCGCTTTCTCTTGTAGCCAAAACACCTCTTTTTGGAAAGCAATTTTCAGGGGAATTTATATCTAAAAACCTTAGCAATCTTAGGAAAAGTACATTTAGTGAATTAGGATTTTCCAGGCTAGCCTAAAATTTTGCATATATATTTTTTCACTAAGAAGCTATGTGCGAGTTACATTTTGAACAGAACCAGGACACATTGTCCAGTCCAGTCCTAGACTAGGTTGTTGAGTAGAACTGGGTCACTCCAACCAAGAGCAGCAAAGAGCACAACTGCTATTCTTGCTCTAAGGCAACTACAAAGTAGCTGACATATAGCCACTCTTCACTAGATGAAGTACTGTGGAAACGCACCAACAAACAAGAAAGGCCACAACAACAACAAGGTCTAGCTAGCACTTTCTTCGGCCAGTGTCCGGTTCTTGGTTTTCAGTTGGGAAAATGGCCGAATCCACTTTGTCATCACTCTCTGCAGTGGCTCCACTGCCCTCTGCCTACAGCATCACATGGCTGTGTTCCTAAGCTGACTGTCACATGACCAGCCATAGGGTCATTTCTTGCATATCCTTAGCGACTTGGGCACTATCTGTCTAGAAAGATCTCTGTAAGTATGTCGCCTCACTGGAGAGGAGCCTAGAGCACAAATACTCCATGAAATGTGAGAGGCCTGACTCTGTTGCTTCATTACAGGGTGCATCTGGCATCTCTGAGGACCAGGGCTTGAAATAAACTGTGAATGTGTGTGTGTGTGTGTGTGTGTGTGTGTGTGTGTGTGTGTGTGTGTGTGTGTATGTGTGTGTGTGTATGTGTGTACTGTGTGTGTATGTGTGTGTGTATGTGTGTATAGTGTATGTGTGTACAGTGTGTGTGTATGTGTGTACAGTGTGTGTGTGTATATGTGTGTACAGTGTGTGTGTGTATGTGTGTGTGTGTGTGTACTGTGTGTATGTGTGTGTGCATGTATGTACAGTGTGTGTGTGTATGTGTGTACAGTGTGTGTGTGTATATGTGTGTACAGTGTGTGTGTGTGTGTGTGTGTGTGTGTGTGTGTGTGAGAGAGAGAGAGAGAGAGAGAGAGGTGCCAACAATCAATGACAGTCATTCACAGAAGGACTACTGGCAAAGCTAAATGCTTAAAAACCTACCACATCAATGTTTGGGAAGGTGGAATTGTATTACAGAATAAACTAACCATGAAATGCCACTTTTAAACATGTATTGTACTTGTGGGGAGGGCACATGGTACCAGTGTGAATCTGTGGAAATCAAAGGATAACATGTGGGAATCTTGTTGGAGTCAGTTCTCTCCTCCTAATGTGGGGTCCAGTGATTGATCTCAGATCACTGAACTTGGCACTAAGGGCTTTTACCTGCTCAAACTCTGATGCCATTTCTAAACCTATGCAATTAGTTTATAAAGAAATTACATGCTCTCAGGATATTCCATAGAAAACATTCTCTCTGATGAAGATGATGATGAATTGATGATAATGATGTAGATGATGATGATGATGATGATGATGATGATACACAAGAGAACTACAATTCCCAGAAAAAGAGGCTATACTTATATTGAATATTGTACAAAGCTAATTGATTGGAACTTTGGTGATTGGGAACAAGTCAAAACGTTGCAGATCCAATGCACATTTATTGAGAAATCTTGGCCTATTGAACAGTAACATATTGCCCAGCTCTGTGTATAACTCAACATTCCTGCGACTGTCTGGCAAGTAGTCTTGAAATATTTGAAGTGGCTCCTGTATTTCATAAATCTAAAGTCTAAGAAAGTCATCAGATAGCATGTGAGGCTCAGAGCAGAGACTCTCAGCTTTCCTGAAATCTTCCCACCTGATGTTTGACTAGCATTTAGAAAAATATCTTGATTTACAAAAAATCATCATGAAACTATTAGCATGACAGAACATGGAATTTGTGGCAACCTATATCTATGTTCTCAGGCCACGGTTCTCAGGAACTTCTGTTTGGCTCTAGAATAAACTATCTCTTTCTCCTTTTGAGGTGAGGGCTGTTTTTTAGGTATTTACTTGCTGCTCCAACACACCTGGTTATCTACTATCCTCACAGCTTCTTGGTGTAATCCATTTCACTGAGGAGCTATTGAAGCTCAAGAAGGTAGGACTCACCCAGAGGCACAGCCCAGAGAACCATTTATGAACGAATTTTCCCCTTTGTGAATCAAGACTTCCCACTGACTTTTATGTCTTGTTTATTGTTTGTTTATTTATTTTGTTCTTACCGCCTTTTCCTATTGTTGTTGAGTTTTAACAGAGAAGATGACCTTGGCAAGCCTGACAGAGAACAGTGGGTGATTCATTCTTGTTTCAGGGAATAGTGTCACAACCATTACCAAGCTACCTCTACACTCTTTCTTGAAAATAACTAAGCTAATTCCTAATATTTTTCAAGATAGCATCCTTCTCCCACTGAAGCTAGTCCTGTAAGATTTTGTTCCCTCAGGTGTCCCGTTCTAGAAACTCCCTTCCATCTCATACCGGCAGTTGCACAGACTAAGCATGCTTGGAAAACATGGCCCTTACCAGTGATATTGCAGTACACCTGGAGAGGTCCCAGCGGCCCGCTGCCATCAGAATCAACATAGAAGAAGCCAGCTTTATTCCCTCGGTGTCTGTACACCTCACAGGACTGCTCATAGATGGCTGTAAAGACAGAAAGGCAAACTTTACTTGGCTCTGAATATCCCTCTGCAGGGGTCAGTATCCCATACTTAAGCCTACTTCTCATGCTTCTTCCTTTCCCTTCCTGTATAGCCCCAAAGTCTTTACAGCCCAGTGTTCTGGTACTTTACAAACTTATGTCCATTTTAGTTTAATTTCTGTTGCTGTGATAAAATATCTGGACAACAAAGCAACATAAGGGAGAAATGGCTTACTTTTCCTCACAGTTTTAAGTTGCAGTCTATCATTGTGAGGAAATCACAGTTGCTGGAACTGGAAGTACCTATAGTCATATCACATCCACAGCTAAGGACATGGAGAAACAAATGCACATTTGTCTAATTGCTGGCTTGCTTATACATGGCTTAATTTTTCCATACAAATAGTTCAGAAACTATGCTGCTTGGGCTATTGTCAACTGGACACAGCTGGAGTCATTTTGGAAAACAGAACCTCAAAGGAGAAAATGCCCCCACATGACTGGGGTGTAGGGAACTCTACTGGGCATTTTACTTATTAATGATTGATGTGGAAGGGTGTAGCTCAGTGGAGGCAATGCCACCCTTCAGAACATTGTCCTGTGTGGCATAAGAAAGCAGGATGAGCAAGCCATGTTAGCAAGACAGTAAGCAGTATGACTCCATTGCCTCCCTTCAATTCCTGCTTCCAGTTTCCTGTCTTGAGTTCCTTCCCTGACTTCCCTTCATGATAAATTGTGACTATAACCTGAAATAAGTCCTTTCCTTATGTCTTTATGATAGCAATACAAACCTAACTAAAACAAGGATCCCCTGTCTAGAGAATGGTTCCATCCATAGTGGACTATATCTTCCCATACCACTTAAGATAAGCCTACAGACATGTCCTCATACCAGCTCAGTATGAGAGTATGACAGTAGACAACCCCTCCTTGAAACTCTCTTCTCAGGGTATTCAGGTTGTATGAAGTTGACAGTTAAAGATAGCCATCACACACCATTACTTTTATAATTTATTCATTCATTTTTCTAAGCCCATCTCAGGGGTACATCTATCCTAAAATCTCCCCTCCTATCTGTCCCGGCTGTTGGCTGATTTACATGCTGCCCCTATGTCTCTATAGTGGACTAAGCTAGGACCATCAGCACACTGGTCTATCTTCTAGAACGTGCTAAAGGACCTCTAAGAATCATGGCTGTGTGTCATGGGACACTGCATCACGGCATCTAGCAAATCTCTAAGCAGCATCATGGTTCAACATATATTTTGCTAGTGAATTTAAAATTCACATATGCTGTTATTTTTTTTTTTTTTTTTGGTTTTTCGAGACAGGGTTTCTCTGTGTAGCTTTGCGCCTTTCCTGGAACTCGCTTTGGAGACCAGGCTGGCCTCGAACTCACAGAGATCCGCCTGGCTCTGCCTCCCGAGTGCTGAGATTAAAGGCATGCGCCACCACCGCCCGGCGCTGTTATGTTTTTTTAGCAAGAAAATATGAGGACACTGTCTTGGGGATGTGTGTGTGTGTGTGTGTGTGTGTGTGTGTGTGTGTGTGTGTGTACATGTATTTGTGTGTTTGTGTGATGCCTATAGTTAAATTCAGAGGTTGTTTCTATCTAGTAACCACTTTGTTTTCCCCTTCCTTTTTGGCTAGGATGCCTGGCCAGTGAGCCTTAAGAATCTGCCTGTCAACACCTCAACATGAGCATTACAAATGTGCACATCATAGCCGCTTTTACATGTTCTGGGGATCATATCAGGTCCTCATGCTTGCAAAGCAAGCACTGTACCAACGGAGATATCCTCCAGCCAAAAGGGACTTTCTCTTACATTTATATATGCCAAGTTTAGAAAGTAACTGATATAATATTGTATCCGGTTCAATCCATCTTCACCTAACAATTGCTGTCTAATTTATAGATGTATGTCAACAAGTATGATTTCACCAAAGGACAGAGACATAAATAAGACCATTAGCCTGTGTCCTCATGCTTATAAGCCAGGGCAGGCACTGTTCTTGCATGCTCATACAAGAGCAGGAACAGGAAGAGGTCACAGGGGTCACTTAATTTGGAGCTTTAACAGAGCTATAGACTTAATAAATATTAATCTCATTAAACCAACACTAACAGATTTGGAAGAATGCAAAGGTAATGGCTTCAAAGATACATTAACCATCTTAGGCATAAAAATTTGTTTTTAATACTTCACACAAAATCCTGTATTTCTGAGAAGCATGTGTGCATTGAATTATGTCACCTAACCATGCTTAAAACACTTCAATGGATCCTAACATCATTCAAGATAGAGTACAAGCTTGTCACCTTAGCCGACTTCTGCCCCTGTGACTAATGTCCCATCCCAGGAATATGAAGTAACCGTTCGTCATGATCAACTGTGAGGTGAGCTTCAAATAATTCATTACCAGTCAAGTTCTAAAGCCTGAGAGAGTTGGAATTTTTATACTTTGGAGTGAATTCAAGGTTATACTTATATTCACACAACTCTCTCTGGTATTCATGTACACTTTCTGAAGCAGAGGTAAATGAGAGTGTCATGGTATGTGCCCTAAACACTGAACACAAAATGCATCATATACTCTTCCTAACACCTGATATCCCCATTGGTAAAGTGCTGGCCTGGAAGAATATGATCTTCCAAATCTATGTCATGTACTTTGGTGTGCATCCACACATGTGAATGTCAACTAGTATGAGTAGCCATCTCCAAACACACCTACAGTCATAGGAGGACAAACCCATGAAAGACATTGCCACTGCTGTTGTCTCATGAGTATGAAAGAAAAATAACATCCAGTCAGCATGTGAGCATTTGCCTAACTGCTGAGAACACTGAACCAGAGAGTGGAGGCATTAGCTGCTAAGCCTGATGACATGAGTCTGGTCCCTGGTACTTACATGGTAGAAGAAGAGAACAAGCTGCTGCATGTTCTCATCTACCCTCCACATTTATTCTGTAGTACACACACAATCACATAAATATAGTCATATAAGGGCATGTGTGTGCACACATACACACATGCACACACCCCAACACAATAAAATTGTAAATATTTCACAAAGAACATGAACTCTAGAAATGAACTGGGTAAATGTTTGCAGTATGGCCACAACTAGCACCTGTGTTACTTTGAGAAAGTAAGTGACTTTACCCTTTCTGGCCACTCCTAAGGTTATTCCAGGATGGACACTTCCTGGTATTCAGATACTCATGCTTGTCTCAGTTAATTTTCTCATTGCTGTTACAAAACACCTGACCAAAACAACCTAAAGGAGAAAGGGCTATTTCTGGCTCACAGTTAAGTTGGATACAGGCCATATTGGAGGAGAATACAAGGCAGTTGGTGGAGGAGCCAAGATTAGATTCCTAGAAAGCGGTGGTGACCATCTTTGAAGCTCCTGGATTACTCCCTGAGGTAGAAGCCATTGGCCTCCTCAGGAGAGAATCTGATGGAAAAATTCTACCTGAGAGATCTTAGGAGCCTCTACTGCCTGCCATGAAGGTGAGCAAAGCTTCACAGTGCTTGAAGAGGGGCTGGCGATCTACTTTTATGTTTTCAGACAGAGCTATGTTTTTCATAAAACTCACATCTTCAACTCCACTTGCAGAACTGGATGCCACTTGCAGTTTCTGTAGGTTTAGGATAATTTTACAATGTAAATTTGTTGTCTCTTAGATTGTACTTGTGTGTGTGTGTGTGTGTGTGTGTGTGTGTGTGTGTGTGTCTGTGTGTGTGTGTGTGTGTCTGTGTATGTCTGTCAGTCTGTCTGCATTTTTCACACCAGGGTTTTTGTTGCTATAATAAAACACCATGACCAAAAGCAACTTTGGGAGGAAAGGTTTTACTTCATCTTGAGCTTGTAGTTCACTATCTAAGGAAGTTAGGGCAGGAATATTTCCATGAGGAAATATTGCTTACTGTCTTGCTCCTCATGGCTTGTCCTGGCTGCTTTATTATACCATTCAGTACCATCTGCTATTAGATAGCACCACCTACAATGGACTGCCATGTCAAACATTGTTCAAGAAAATGCCCTACAGGATTGCTTATAGACCAATCTTAAGGAGGCATTCTCACAACTGAAGTTCCCTCCTCTCAGATGACTCTAGCCTGGTTCCAGTTGACAAAACCTAGCCAGCACAGTATTCTCAGGTTTGCGTATGGAGGTCAGAGGACCAACTCAGGAGTCTGTCCTCATCTCTGTCCTTGGTTGATCCAGGGTCCGTTGTTGTTTTTCCACAGCATAAGCCACAGGCTAGCTGGCCTGTGACAGTCCAGAGTAGAAACACTCTCTGCCTTTTGTGTGGGTCCTGGGGACTTTAATTCAGTCCTTTATGACAAATGCACTATTACCCACTGAACGATCTCTCCAGCTTCAGGTTCTGTGACTTCAATGAAAGGATTTCCTCTACAGATCTGCCGCTTTCTCTCTGGCTTTCATCTGTGCACTCTAAACCCTCAACCTTTTCCTGCTCTGATTTCCTGAGCTTGCTTTTTCTCTTTTATTTCACCATCTTGACTTTTATTTGTTTGTTTGGTTTGTTGGTTGTTGTCTTGTTTTTCAAGACAGCTTTTCTCTATAGCCCTGGCTTTAAGACTTTTATGGTGAAAAGAGGTAGGTGTCTTGTACTGCGAGAAAGTGAGGAAGGAGCCTGCTAGCATGTGACTCAGACATTGGGAGCTATTGGGAAGGGTCACATTTAATTAACTGATGCCTCTAACCTGAGGTCCTTGGGGGAAGTAAGAATGGTACTTGACATCCTTTTGGAATCCGAACAATTGGGGAGTTTACAGACTCACAGACATGCAGTCTGACTCTCCTTGTAGAATCAGATATCACAGAGTCAATGCTAAGGGTGGCTTTGCTTTGGAATGTTAGTCTTTCTTTCCTGGGACCACCTGCTACAGATTCTCAGACCTGCTGTCCTTAAAGTGCTTTTCATTGGCTCTGACACTGCAGATAAGTGGAGCCTGATTGACTCCT